ATACATATAAAATGATAGTCAGTAATTTTTTCATCTATTTTTCTCGTTTGAGTCCAAAAAGACCACAGTTTGGTTCCGGAATGCGAAGCTCTACTACCAACACTTTTATTACCATATGCGACAAAAATTCAAATTAATCGAATCAATTTTTTTAATACCATATAGATAATCAAAATCGAATTAGGATTATGATGAGTGGTAGAACAATTCTTTGCAGTGATGAGATTTCATCATATTTTCGGGAATGGTGTTTTCTTGTCTTTTGCACAAGTTAATTGTCCAATGACCTATATATAATGGTTTTATATGAATTATAGTTTCCACAAATTTCAAGCAAAGTTAACGTGGTGACTGCATTGCATGTTACCAATTCATTATAAGACATCCATTGAGATCCCAATAGGTTAAACTTAAAAGGATTTTATTTGTTTTTACATGAGAAAGACGAAAATAGACCAACCCCGACTCTAAGAAACCATACAAAACTAATTCCTAATTCCTAGTTGTAGAAATTCCTTGTACCACTTGTCTTTTCTTCTAATCTAAATATAGAGAAGTATTGCTTGAAATTTCAACAATCTCCTAATATCGAAGTAAATGTTACTTTAAATCCCACTTACCTGTCATTCGATGCTTGGTTATTTTTTATGTATAGCCCATAAGCCAAACAGCACATCAATCCTCAAGCACCTAAAATTTGTTTCCTTGATCTACTTGTTTTATCATAATTAAAACCTATATAGTCCACACAACGTTGCGTTTTGAATAAACATTGGACTTGTTGACTCACTTTGTTTGTGAAGCTTGGGATCAGATCAGGTCCTTAGGAGCATCAAGCATAGAAGTTCAAGGAATTTGTACTAGCTAAACGATATTATAAAATTTGTTTACCCTCTTAGAGAGGTTATCACTTACTTTTAGCATATATAATTTACCATTTATGTTAAAAATAAAGAATTGAAACATAAGATAGAAGAGCATCTTGCTCCTTGCAATGGGATCGACTGTAATAAAAGTGGAACTACTACTCTGACATAAAGCACTCCAAAGGAGAAAGGAGACTAGATCAATCAACTCAAATTCCCCAGACAACGTTTATGCTTTGGACCAGTAGGATAGAAAATTGAAGAACAAAACTTTTGATATGTTTGGAAACCGAAGACATTGACAAATTGTATGTATTTTGTATGTCTGGATGTATAAACGACATACAAGATATAGGACAATGAACACAATTTGATACAAATTGTATGTAAGATGTATGTAAATTGTAGCTTTTGACTAGATTCCATACAACAAAAAAATTCAAGTTGTATATATGTAGCTTTTGATCGAATTTGTATATATTTTGTAAAAAACTTTAGTTACTTTTTGTAAATAGGAAACCCAGCTAAAACCAGGTAAATAAGTTTAAAATTTCATACGTACGGAAAAACCCGAAATACTATGATAGAACAAATGTCGGGCCAAGAAAAGCAAAATGATTATCATCTGCAATGGCAACTGATACATTACAGAAGTTCTATGATAGAACAAACACAGAGCATGTTTAATTGTCTTAACACCTTCTGAAGAACAATATCCTTTTGCCAAAAAGGCATAAAGAGAAGGGAATGAAGCAACGTTTGCATGGTGTAAAGCTATTTCTGTTAAATCTCTTAATTAGTCTATGTTTTTCTACTATGAACTACTCCCAGACTGTTGTAAACACAGTCACATATTTTGTACATACGTATGACGAAGAGACACATTATATGACCCTTAAAACAGGAGGAGACACAAGATAAAGCAGCAGAAAAGAAAGATGGACAATCTATTAAGAAATTTGTCCACCTGCATTTCTTGCCTTCTCACTCTAGGGCTACCACTTGCCGGGATGAGGTAAGGGCTAGGATGAGGATAAGCAATTAATCTTGCGCCTGAGCTTCCAAACATTCTCGCAGAAAATATTTCTCCAAACACACCGGCCACTGGCCTGAACAAACTGGTCATTGCAGTGCCCCCAAAGCTAGATGGAGCCATAGCTGCATAGCTACCAAAGGCTTGGGGTAAGTATGGCCGGTAATGTTGAAATGACCGTTGTGGAGGATTGACAGAAGATTGATGAAATTGCTGATTTACGTGAGAAGTTGGAGAGAGTGAATCATGTGGTGCGATTGTCCCAATCGCTTGAGGCCTATGAGGTATGTCCATGTTAACTTGAGACTTTTTCGATTCAGACTCCAGTGATGATGTCCCACGACCATAGAGAGGCACCAGTGAGGAGCTTGAGATGTGAGCTTTACACACTGGACATTTAGGTTTTTCTTCGGATTCTGGTGTAGAGCTCTCAATCTGGATCCACTTGTAAATGCACGGCCAGCAGTAGAGGTGACCGCAGAGGGTGACTACAGGATCATGTGCTGAGTCAAGGCAAATGTTGCAATCAAAACAGGACGCCATATTTTCAGAGGTAACTGAGTTTCTCTTCTTAAAAGAAACATCTTCATCAGATCCAACACGGGTAATAGGCATGAAATCTGTTAAAAGACAATTCCAAAATAAATTAATCACCTGAAAAAATGCACCACATAAATGAAACATCTATGTTTATCAGCAAAACTACATGATATGTACAAATGGGAGAAACCAACTTCCGATTTGGTGAATCGATCGTTAATTCATTTGGTGTGCAAAATTAAAAAGATAACCAGGAAAGCATCTCATTGTTTTCTCCTTTTTTTCTTTATATTTGAGCTTTAAATAGGAGTGAGAGTATGAAAGTAAGCAGCATGGATTGGATACAAAACATTAATCACAATTAAAGACCCTCCATTCGAGCACTAAACAAAGCCCTACAAGGTTTAATTTCTTTTAGCTCGAGTCTGTCCTTTCTGAACCAATCAATGAAAGATTTACTTGCTAGTTCAAGTTGTATAAAAAGAGGGGAAAAAGATTGTTATTGCTTCCCAAAGTTTAAATAGATAAACCTAGATTATCAGCTAAACCACCCCAAACACTCCATTTGGATAAATGGATTTGAAAAATGCACTTCCGTGAGAAACTATCACGTGTCCGAGTCATTTCCAATATTCTTTTTAGTCTCACATAAAAATGAAAGGAATCAGAGGGAAACATAACACCATGCCAGAAAACATAAAAACAAAGTACCCCTCCCCCTCCCCCCATAAGCTCAACATCCAAGTACCAATTCCGTTTTCGTTTCTGTTCCCTAAATACAAAACAGTATACACCAGGATTAGAAGAAAATCCCAAATGTCCAGTCTGTCAAACTAACTGGTCTAGACCAGAAGAAATATCTGAATATGCAGTGTGTAAATATATTCTAAAGACATTGTTATAGGCCAAAATCTTCAGTAAGCATTGAGCATGTATCATTTGTGTTGCCACTAATTGAAGAATAATATTGTTTTGGAGAAATGTTTTGTGCAAGAATGTGGAAGCTCATACACAAGTTAAATTGCTTATCCACATCCTAGCTCTTACCTAGTCTGGGAAGCAGTACCCTAGAATAAGAAGGCAAGATACATGATAAATGCTCAAACTACAGTAAATATTCTTCATACAAATATACATGCTCAACCTATAACGATGCTTTTAGGATAGTTTTGCAGACTGAACATTTAGATTTTCCGGTTTACATTTGAAAATAGGATTCAAGATATTGCCGTGTTACAGTTCCAGTTTCTTGTTAGTAACTTAGGAGAACTTACTGGTGTTCTGTGTTCATGTCATTTTTGAAACCAAAGTTCAGATTCAACGGACTTTTCTGTGTGCGCAACAGATTGATTTATGTTTTGACTATCTACCACAACTAGCTTGGGATTGAGCATAGTAGTAGTTGTCGAAGTGTTTTATTCTAAAAGCCTCATTACAGAAGCTCCAAAACCGAACGCATAGGATTCTAATGGGAGACCCGGATTAATATCTTAATGAAGAGTGATAAACTTTTCCTATAAGATGCCAAACACCCGAATATCAGGCTTTCAGTATTCTGCAGACATTTTAACATTGTTTCTTCGAGTTCTTCCCCCATTTTTCATCCTTTTTAATGTTAGGATTAAACAATTACTGATAAAATTTCTAACCACATAAATGTTAATCCATAGCTCCAATTTAAGGTTTACCCTGAAATCGAATGATCAAATTGCAGTTCTACACTTTCTATTTCGGGAAGGGGAAAATCTTGAATAAAGCAGAAAATCAACATAGTATTAATCAATTAAGAACACCAAAACCCTTCTCGTCGAAATAATAAACAAAAAAAACTATAACCAATCTCAAGCATTACAAAAGATGCATTAAACGAGATCAAATAGGCATTAAGAAAAAAAATGAAATAAAAAATGAGAAAGAAGAAGGGAAAGGGTAATACCACCGACAGATGAAGATGCCCTCAAAGAATGAAAGGGAGGCGCTACAGAGGAGAAAGGGTAGTGTTGGTAGGAATTACGAAATGAGTGATTTTTTTTTCTTAACGGAAATGAGTGAATGGAAGATAATCTATCTATCTATTTATTATTATTATTATTATTATTATTATTATTATTATTATTATTATTATTATTATTATTATTATTATTATTATTATTATTATTATCTATATCTATTATTAAAAGGAAAGATGTCAGCCATGAGAATTTGCCAAGTGTCGCGTTCAGAAAATGCCATGTGGAAATTTTAGGAGAATATTAGTTAAATTTGGTAAAATTAGTTTCTTTCTTTAATTTGAATTTTAAAAAAAATAACATACTATTCTGAAACCAACACATAACATAACTCCATACGCGTCTTTGACCTAATAAATATCAACATCTATCGTTTTCGTGCTTCAGATCCACAATGTTCTGACAGCGCAAACTCAAACTGCTTAGTCAAAAACCGTTTTCTTCTTCTCAACAAAAATCGATCTTTTTTTGAACTCCCACTTTATTTGTCAAAATCATGAAACCACTACATCTTACTTCCAATTTCTTTTAAAAAGGCATAGTAATCCACTTTCACGGATTCTTCTCCATGGAGAATCAAATAACCCCCTTTCCACACCAAGCAGATACAACATATATAATTAGAAACGGCGCAAAAAAAACTTCAGTTGCCAAAGGTTTGTTCTTTGATTATCACTACTATCTCTTAAAATAATTTTTATGTACTTTTTGTTTGCAAGCATATAACTATAAGGCCATTAGACTAAATCGTTGATCTTCTTTGTTGATAAATGGGGGAAGAAGATATAATTGATTATTTTCTTGAACTTAAAGGCAAAATTATGAATTCCTTTGGTCTCGCGTGCTACATGTGCTAGCAAGCATTGGTAATCTTTGAGGAAGTCTTACTCATCGAAATCTTTGCTTAAATCTATGGGGTTGCCAAATTTATTTTCCTATTATCTTCTAGCTTGTGTAATTTTCTTAATAGCTCTCACTTTTACCATCTTTTATTTCTATGTCATTATTTTCTAACAAATCATCTTCTGGTGCCTCCAGTTTATGTTACTTGATTTTATTGTTATATATGTCACTTTGTAATTATACTTCTTAGAAACAATTATAACAATATGCTTCTAGAATATTATAAGTAATTAAGAATTCGAATATTTTGCTTAAAAGTTTAAAGTGATAAAGGAAATTGTTCACGGCAAATAAGGAGAAGCATGTTTTTTATTATTCTTATAATATATTGGTTCTCTGATTCACTGAATATGACATATTGAATAGCAGAAGAGCAACATAATTTTTGATGTATAAAAAATAATTTTATATACTCCTGAACACTTTATCATATTATATGTTACAAGAATTTGAACTCTATACTTTTTTTAAGTTTACTCTTTTTAATTGATGAAACTTTGAATACTATCACTGAAAGATGAATGTATTAGTTTTTATTTCAAAGATAATAAAACATTTATTTTTGTTTCTGTGTAATTGTTGTTATTTCTATTTCCTGCAACAAACAAAAATACAGATATTAGACCTTATATTATTGTCTCTACTTTTCTTTTCAGTGCTCAATGTTCTGGTGTTGTTGGGAACATTGGTATATGGATGTCAATACATGCTAATGTTCGAGTATCAGGTGTAGCAAGGTGGTATGTTCAGTGTTATTAAAGGCGCGGTTAAGCCCTGAAATGAGACTCAAAACATGTTAAGCATTTTGCCTCACTTTGTGGGCGCTTCAGTGTTGTCATCAAGGCTCTAAGGCATATTTTTCCTTGCCAATGAGCGTAATCTTGAAGAGATGATACTAAACAATTGATATTTTACTTTATCGTAAATTTTCTTCAATTTCTTTGTCCGTATATTTGGTATTCATGCATATAGATATTAGTCTTGGACTACACATACATATTTATCATTTTTCTCCATTAGCGCCTTTCTTCATTAAAGTCCACGCTCTTTTTGCGCTTTGTGCTTAAAGCCCCAACAGACCTTAAAGTTTTTTTGCGCTTTTCGCCTTTGATAACACTGGGTATATTCGAGAGGCTTTGCAGGCTCTTTTGTTCACGTCTCAAAATAATTTCAACAGGAGCGACACTAAGGTCCTTTGTTGTATAAATTGAATTGAGATCTTTTGAAGGTAGATAGTTGTTCGTGTTGGTAAATTTTCAGCATTGATAGTCGTTGAAATGGATGTAACGGGTGTTTCCATCCTTTATGCAACTTTGAATGAGTGGTTGGGGGTGGATTCAACTGGAGCAATAAAGGCAACATATTGTAAGTAAAGTCTGCTGATGTTTCACATTGTTTTGTTTCACTAAGAATACTAAATGTTCTACCTATTATTTCATCTAATAGTCTGCAATATTCATTTATTTCTACAGGTAAGAAAAGTTACCTTAAGCATGCAACAAAGAACTTTGCCTCAGCTGTAAAGGAACATGTAGCTTCTGATGAAGGTGTTTTCAATTGGTACAACAACATCACTGCTATGTCGGTAATTGACATAAAATCTTGATGAGAATTAATGTTTTTATTGTATGCATTTCATCTAAGACTTAAAACTGTTATATAGATTCTGCTAACCAGTATTGAGTATTTTTGAGATCTTGATTATCCATGCGAGTCGTCGTTTATATCATCGACCAACATGACTTACTTGCTCATGTTCTCATATACTTCTGATCCAAAGTACAACACATCAAAATGTGTTGTCTTAATTACTGTGAATTACAGATGTGTTTAACTGTCCTTTATTTTTTCTAATCATAACTTGAGACAAAAAAATTTACTTTTTTAGGTGGACTAATCCGTTTAAAGCCAAGTACTTCTATAGCAATATACATCTGTTTCTAATATATCCATCCACTCTTTTTCCCTATAAAATGATCCGCGCATCGCGCGGGTATGTATACTAGTATAAAGGAAAAGTGTGATAGGCAATGAGACCCAAAAATGCCGAATCAGATATAAAGTGAGCAAAGGATTGAGTGAACCCAAAAACCTCTTGAAGGCCAAAAATGACTCAACAAAAGGTGACAAAATATTTTAATTAAAAATTGAATTTATTTCATATGATTGGGGAAATATGATAAACGGCTCAAAATGCATATTTTTTGGTGTACTTTCATCTCATTACTTGTGTGGTTACGGGAGGTTATATGAGTTTTTGTAGTGAATTATGCTCATTGCGTGCATTCTTATGTGTATGAGCAAGTTGGACAAAAAGGGAGCAAAAGAAGTTGATTCAGAACTAAAAGACAAAAGAAGAACTTTGCTCGTTCATTCTCGTGTGCACACGAGAGAGTGAACGAGCTAGCTGAGGAAACCATGAGAAAAAACAACGAACTAAGCTAAAAAGGCATGGAAGTACATAAGAGATTTGGGAGGCAAAGAAAAAGAGAATACTTAGCTTGTTCACTCTCACGTGCGCACGAGAGATTGAACGAGCTAACCTGAAAAGTCTTTTCCAAAGTTGGCTTGTATTATTACGCCCCATACTAACCATATCCCATGTAAATAGTCTTTAAACTCACTTTTGAAGGAGGGATTGGATGTTTTTAGGAAAAAAAATCGACCGAAGGAGGCAAGAATATACTAGGAGCAAGACAGAGAATTCTTTTACGAGTTTTTCACTTCCTTCTTCCTATTTTCATTATTGGTTATGAATTCTAGTATTGTAGTTTTGCATACTATTATTAATAACTAATTTTTTATCTAGGGTTTTGATGGAACATTTTGTAGGATGAATTCTTATTACGTTTTTATATAATTGAGCCATTGGATTTCTCTACTTGTTCAACTACGTGTTTATTGTTGTTGATTGAATGGCCATCAATTGTTTGTGCCTATTTAGTGCATATTGCTTGGAAAATGGTACATATTTAGGTAGTTGTTGAACAACATCACTCCTAACATATGTGAAAAATCAATACATAGGGTTTAAAGGTAGGATTAGGAATAACGAAACCTTGGTGCGATCTTAGTGAGCGGTAAATTAGTGCCAACTAGCGTAGTTCGGAAGAATATGTCTAGTAAATTATTGTAGTTGCTCGGAAGAGAAATATGACACATGAAGTACTCATGATCAGTAGAGAATACTTAGGCAAAATTATAAAAAATATAGCGGGGAAAATTTCGACAATTGGAGAAATCATAATTCTAGACCTTCTTAGTCTTGTTAGTTGATAATTTTACTACTTTTTTGTATTTGTTAATTACTTAGTTTTAAAAAAAATCAATCTTTATAACTAGGAAATTATTTGAACTCGTATTTCTTAGCAATACTGAACAATTGTAGTTAAGCCTTAGTTCTCTGTGGGATTCGACTCCGAACTTTTAGACCAGATTATATTTGCAGCGACCACTTATCCTTTTTAGGATTAGAGTTGGGCTTGATCAAATTTTGGCGTCATTACCGGGGAAATAACGGTGTAGCTGTAGGTGTACATATTTCTACGTTTCAAGTTTGAACTTTTATTTTGTTTCTTTTAGTATTTGATTTTTTATTTTTATTTTCACTTGTTTATTTGAGAAACATGGCATCTTGGAATTATGAGAGTTTCGATGTTGGTAATTCTACTATTAATCTTCCTAATGCTTATTGTGGAGGAAACCACTCATGAAAAAATTATCAAAATATTTCCGAGAGCGAGTTATGTGCACCAACTCAATTTTTTGTGTGGAATGTGTGTGATATGTGTGGTGGTCAAGATGGTCACTTTTATGCTTGTACTTATATTTCTTATCTTCTCCCAACCTCTTATTTTGATGGTTCTTCTTTTTCTTATGAAGTTAATAGGAACAAAAAATCCAGTGGATGATGACCTGAAAGAGATCAAAGATATGCTAAGGTGTCCCGTGGAACAAAATATGAGAAACAACTGGACATACAAAGGCAAGATGTTACTATTCACAACCTGAAGGTAAAAGTGAGTCAACTAGTTGAAGCATTTAATGCTCAACAAGCCAATATTGTGGATAGTAGCCAAGAAGAGTATGAATTAGATGCCGAAATTGAGGTTTTAATAAAGTAGGTCAGAGTAGAACACCAACAATCTAACCAACTAGAATTTGAGGATGTTGATGTTGAAGAAGTAATACTAGAGTCAACCATGGACGTTGAATATGCAAATTTAGTTGACTCTAATGTGATTGGCGTTGAGGATGTTGAAAATCTTGAAGTTTATGTATTTGAGCATGTTGGACCTCATTCCAAACACTTTTCTACATTATGTTCAGACGGTGAAATGGAAATTGATCTGTATGAGCCAATGCAAGAGTCAAAGGAAGAGGAAGATGAGCCCAATATTCTTAAATTTTCAAGGCCGTCTAGGCAAAGTGACACTTCTCGGTTGAAAGCCAAAAAGTGCATAAATAATCATTTAATTTTTGGCTCACAACAATTTGTACCGCCTCAGAAGCATAATCATAAGAATAAAAACTTGGGATTCAATTCATAAGCTCGAGGTGGAGGCAGAAAATGATTCATGTCGTGTCGTGATGTTAAATCAGGCGCTTGTTGGAAGGCAACCCAACTTTACTGCTTTCATTGATTTTAAATTTTTAAAAAGTATTTTTATTGTGTTATTTTTTAGTGTAGCTTTCGATTTTCTAGGAGCATGAGAAGCAAAGCTATTGGAAGGAAGCAAAAGAAAACAAGATGACTAGAACTAAGTATGGGATGCTGACGAGCGTAAAATCGGTGTATAAAACTTAGGCTCGCTAATCAAAGATAGTATAGTATTAAATCGTCATTATAGGGATTGGTTTAAACAGTGTTCTAATAAATCTTCAGCTCAATAGTATCTAGGATAATAAACCTTTTAATTATGTTATTATTGACTACTAATAAAACTAAAATTATTGATCGTAAGAAACTAATAGAAATTTAATGACTAAATAGCAACGATTGAATATCAAAGTGAGAAGTAAGGCCCATGACAAGATATGTGATCAACTATTATTCCGGGTAACTCTATGTTAAGTTCAGTCTAAACTTCTATTGACTCCTTCGATATCAACAGATGATTAGGCTACCTTAGGGGTTCAAATTCTTCTTTCAAATGCATGAGAGTTTCCTTAATCAACCTAATAACAGATCCTATGAACATATGAACAAATACAGTGAATGAATGATCTTTTGAAGAACACTTCTCGACTATTCTTCTAAATTGGGTTAATTGATAATTCTCTAAACTATTTTGATTACCTACAAGAGGTATAAAATCAACCCAAACAATATGGCACAATACAAATCGCAGCAAAATTTCTCTTTCGATTAATGTAAAACCACAATTAGCCTTGCAATTTAATTAAAAACTCATTCAATGAGTTTGCGCAATTAACATAGGGTAAAATCCAAAACAATAGTCAATTCACAACATCTGTCAATAACCATAAAAGAAATACTCCATAGTGGAGAAATTATTCTTCACAAGAGTATTAGAAGAACAAGAAGGAATTACAATTCTCAAAAATCCAACAAACTTCCGTTTTGTATGAATTAGATCAAGTATATCCTGTCTCCGTTCTTTCCTTGCCTTCTTCTCTCCAAATGTTCCTCCAAAATCTAAGATACCATGTTTTTAGACGAGCTAGGATTCATATAGGTCAAACGAAGTCGCCTCCTAACTTACAAAAATAGGCTTGGGAAAAGTTTCCGAAACTGGACGTGCACGGCCGTGCACCTAGAGGTGCGGTCGCGCATATGGCCGCACACATCTGGCAGGTTCTGCTTTACATGCGCGCTCAGGTGCGCACTGGAGGGGTCTCGTGCACGGTCGAGCATCTGGGTGAGCCTTCTGCTCAACTCTTGTTTCTCCCGTTGAGTGCATTATTGTCCGTTGATCCCCGAACATTATCCCAACTTAAGCCTTGGTCTTTTACTTAGATTTAAAAGCTCCAAACTATCTCGAATTAGCTCTAAAATCTCATTGCACCTCAGAATCGCTCCTATAAGGCATAAACACACACTCAGTGCAAAATAATACAATTTAAAGCTCAAACACTAGTAAAATGCAGCGAATTACAGTGTAATTAATGGCTAAAATACACAATTATAGCCCACCATCAGGTGCCCCCATAAAAGACCAATTCCAGGGGGAAGTATGAGTACCCCGTGAGCTGTTAATGCTTCGGCCTTTAGCCTACTAGGGAGTTTTTTTACCCTCTTGTTATTTATGGTGTGCATTAGGGACAATGTACAATTTTAAGTGTGGGGTGGGAGAAGACTGTCTGGGTAATTTCTTATGCTATGTTATGTATATATATAAAATAAAAATAAAAATTTGATAGAAATAATCCTCTTGATTTTTCTTATGGCCACGGTTCTTTTGCAAGGGATGACTCTTTAAACCGGGTAGTAATTTTTTTGTAGGTAGAATTTTCATAATATTTTTGGACTTTTCCCGACGATGGACTTCTTTGATAGTTTTCTTGAGGGATTAAAGTCTAAAGAAAAATGCAAAAAGATTATCCTTTT